TCAAAGCGGTTTTTTTGGTCTTTGAACCGGGGTTTCGGTTCGGTTCAACGGTTCGAAAAACAAACAAGTAATCTATATATATAAAAAAGGATGTATGTATGTATGTATGTATCTATGCAGCTTATAGACTCCGAAACCATTCAGCCGATTTTGTTAAAATTTCCAGGATAGCTTCATTGAAACTCGGAGAGTGTTCCTGTGGGATTTTGGCTATTTTTGAAAGAGTTGCCACCTGTCAGAAAAATAAAATTTATTTAAATATGCAAGTAAAGTAAGTATAGATATCAAATGGAAGGTATTTGAGAAAGATATTTAAGAAAATTTACATCAAAAAATATTTTAATAAGTGTTGCCACCTGGTCAAAAAGTTAAAAATAATGATTATCAAATGCAATTCACATCAAATATTGCAATATGGGTATCAAACGGAAGGTATTGGAGAAAGATTCACGCCAAACATATTTTTGAGTAGAGTTGCCACCTCTTTCAAAAAAGTTAAATGACATAAATTTGTGTATTAAAAAGTATTTCGCAGGATACGTATCAAACGGGAGCTATTGGGAAATGTTTCCGTTAAGACCAATTATTGTATAGAGTGTCCACATACTTAAGAAAATAAAATCGGATAATATTTTTAAGAAATACCAAAGATTTAAAGTGTGATAAACTTCAAAGTCTGTCAAACCGAAAGCTTACCAGAAAGAAAATGCCGAATCCAAATTTTTAAATCTATATGTGAACATATGTATGTATGTTAATGCCAGAGTTGTGTAAATTTTCACCAGGTTGCAATTTAAAAACGGAATTTGTTTAATAGTTAAAAACCAAAAAAGTACTCAATATTAATGCATAACTTTTGTTTCTTATTGAATAAGGCTTAAAAAAATATAATAAAATTTGCAATAAAAAATGTTGTAATATTTTTTCCTAATGCGCATACGAGATTTTGCTTGCATAATTTTCCTAAATTTGGGTGTATAAATTTTGGTATTTTTCCACAACATTCATGAAGAGAATACCTACATAGAAAACACTTTGTTACCTAAGTTCACATAAATAAAGGGTTTAAAAATTTCAAATTATTTGGGAGGAAAGTACCTGCAGAATTATAGCATTCGTTTTTATTTTACGGTTGAAGGTAGTTAAATATTGTTTACAAGAGTATATTTTGTTTCCCAAGTTTACCTAAACAATGGCTTCATAAATCTTGGGATTTTTCCACAACATTCTTGAAGAAAATACCTACGTACAAAGAAATTTTTCTGTATACACTAATTCAGATAAATAAGAGGTTGCGAAAGTCTACCGATTTTTTTTTAATTTATTGCAGGAAAAGTACCTGCAGAGAATATCTTCTGCTGTTTGCACACGTTTTAGCATAGATAAAATATAAGGATTTTTAATCTTTTTAAGTGGAAGGTACCTTCAGAGAACATATTTATATTGTTTGCCTGAGTTACATAAATATAAGGTCGCATAGCTAATACATTCGCTCATAGCAAGTGTAGACACTGCGCAAACGATAGTGAATTCTTTTTCATCTGAGATCAGTTCAACATACAGAGTATTATTATTTACATTCACAAAAAAATAAAATCATGCCACCAAAGAAAGCATCAATTGGAAGAAAAAACCCCAAAACAAAAAAGTCGAATGAATACAGAGCGGCGGAAACGGAAGATCAACGAAATGTCCGACTTCAACAAAATCGAAACAGAGAGACAAGCTCGAGAAATGTGGAAACGGAAAACCAGCGGGAATCTCGCCTCCAGCAAAATCGTGTGAGAGCTTCAACCTCCAGAGACTCTGAAAACCTGGAACAACGAGAATCTCGCTTACAAAGAAATCGTGTGAGAGCTTCAACCTCCAGAGATTCTGAAAATCCCGAACAACGCAACGAACGGCTTCGCACTAATCTATCACGATTGACCCATTCAAGAGAAAGAACACATTTAATGTTGGCGGCATACAATTATGACAAAAACAGAGACTACGAAAATCATGCAGATGTCGCCATTGGACCGATGAATAAAGTTTGTTTGCATTGCCATGCTTTGAAGTTTGCAAAGGAATCACCAGGAATGTGTTGTTCAAATGGTAAAATAGTTTTGCCATCGTTAATTGAGGCACCTGAACCACTACTTAGTTACCTTTCTGGCACAACTCCTATTTCAAACCACTTTTTGAAAAACATACGCAAGTACAACTCTTGCTTTCAAATGACTTCGTTTGGAGCAACGAAAATTATATCTGAAGGCGGTTACATGCCAACATTCAAAGTTCAAGGCCAAATATACCACAAAATCGGTTCATTGCTCGCAGTGCCACAACAAGATGCGAAATTTCTGCAAATTTATTTCACTGGAAATGATGCACTGGAAGTAGACAAGCGTTGCGTAATTAGTTCTGGGATCCGACGCGAGATCATTTCAAGCTTGCAGGCAATGTTCCATGAACAAAACAATTTGATTCGCCTTTTTAAAACAGCTCTGGATCAAATGCCATCAGATGACTATAGTGTTGTTATTAGAGCAGACAAAGCTCCTGCTGGTGAACATGAAAGGCGCTTCAATGCTCCAGTAACAGGGGATGTTGCAATTGTAATAGTTGGCACCGAATTCGATCGACCGGACATCATTATCCACCGGCGAAATGCTAATGTGCAGAGAGTATCGGAAACACATCGATCGTATGATGCACTCCAATATCCAGTGCTGTTTCCCCATGGAGAAGAAGGATATCATTTCAACATCAGGCAAGTCGACCCCAGCACAAGTGAAGCGACGACAAAGAAAGTGTCCTGCATGGATTATTATGCAAACCGCATTATGATTCGTGGAAATGAATCCAATCATATCTTAAAATGTCGTGAATTATTCCAACAGTTTATTGTGGACATGTACGCGAAAGTCGAAAGTGAACGTCTTCTTTTCATTCGCTTAAATCAAAAGAAGCTGCGCGTTGAAGAATACGTTCATTTACGTGATGCAGTTGCTAATGATGGAAACATTGCTGACATTGGACAAATGGTAATTCTACCTGTAACAAATACAGGAAGCCCGCGGCACATGCACGAATACGGGCAAGATGCTATGACGTACGTTCGAAAGTATGGACGACCAGACCTATTCATCACCTTCACTTGCAATCCATCGTGGAGTGAAATAACCGAATTGCTTTTTGCAGGCCAGAGCTCATCGCACAGACATGATCTTCTCGCTCGAATATTCAAGCAAAAGCTAATAAGTCTTATGAATGTCATCACGAAGAATTTTGGTTTGGAGAAACCAGATGCTGGATGTACTCAATTGAATGGCAAAAGAGAGGCTTACCACACGCTCACATTTTGATTTGGTTGAAGCAAAAAATTATACCTACACAAATTGATAGCGTTATATCAGCCGAGCTTCCAAATCAAGCCGAAGATCCCATTCTTTTTGAAATAATCAAGAAAAATATGATTCATGGGCCATGCGGTACTTTTAATCCTAATTCACCATNAAATATGATTCATGGGCCATGCGGCACTTTTAATCCTAATTCATCATGTATGCAAAACGGCAAATGCACAAATCGATATCCACGTGAGTTGATTACTGAAACTCAAACTGGAGGGGATGGATATCCTCTGTATAGGCGAAGAAATCCCACTAATGGTGGATACACAACTACTATTAAGATGCGAAGTGTAGATATCGACATAGACAATAGATGGATCGTGCCATACTCGCCACTACTTTCAAAAATGTTTAATGCTCACATCAATGTTGAGTATTGTAATTCGGNTGCCACTACTTTCAAAAATGTTTAATCCTCACATCAATGTTGAGTATTGTAATTCGGTAAAGTCCATAAAATATATTTGTAAATATGTTAACAAGGGCAGTGACATGGCAGTATTCGGATTAGCAAATCGAGGTGATGAGATCACGCAATATCAAACAGGGCGCTACATCAGCAGTAACGAAGCAGTACACTGACAACACTGACTGCTTTTTTCGAATTGTGTACATCCGAAAATTTTGCTAAAACGTTGCTGTATCAAGATGTGCCCAAATATTATACTTGGAACACATCGACAAAAAAGTTCAACAGAAGAAAAAGAGGTGCAATTGTTCCAGAGCATCCTGGTATATATTCGTCCGATGCATTGGGACGTGTGTATACTGTTCATCCAAATAACGCCGAGTGCTATTATTTGCGGTTGTTGCTGCATACAATCAAAGGGCCGACATCATTCCTTGCATTGAAAACCATCGAAGGAGTAGAATGCCAAACGCACAGAGAAGCGTGCTTTAAACTGGGCTTACTTGAGAATGATCAGAATTGGAACACAACTCTGACCGAAGCATCACTCACGTGCCATCCAAAGCAAATACGAACTTTGTTTGCGATAATTTTAACAACATGCGCACCATCGAATCCTCGACAACTGTGGGAAATGCATCGTGAAAGCCTCAGTGAAGATATTCTAAGACAAGCACGTGCAAGCGATCCAAGTCAGGAATATTCGGATGACATTTTCAATGAAGCTTTAATATTAATGGAGGACTTATGCATGTCAATCAACAACAAAGCTCTTTGTCAACTCGGTATGCCAGCACCGACACGAGATAGAAATGCTGTACAAGACAGAGACTTGATGCGAGAACAGCAGTTTGATGCAAATCAGCTTGAACGATTTGTGCAAACGCAAAAAGAGTTTTAAGTTGCTGATCAGAGGCGGAATTATCTTCCTAGATGCTCCAGGAGGTACCGGGAAAACTTTCCTCATCAATTTAATATTGGCGTCAGTTCGAATGCGAAATGGGATTGCAGTAGCAGTAGCATCATCGGGGATTGCATCAACACTACTTGATGGAGGACGTACAGCGCATTCAGCACTTAAGCTTCCATTGAATTTGCACCAGACCGAAACACCTACATGCAACATCAGCAAAAACTCTGGTATGGCCATAGTCCTTAAAACGTGCAAAATTATAATTTGGGACGAATGCACCATGGCACATAAGAAATCGCTCGAAGCACTTGACCGAACTCTGCGAGATTTTCGTGGAAAAGACCAACCGATGGGAGGCGCTTTTATACTTCTTGCAGGTGATTTTCGTCAAACATTACCCGTTATACCACGATCAACGCCTGCAGACGAGCTGAACGCGTGCTTAAAGGCATCGCATCTGTGGAACTATGTCGAAAAAATTACGCTCACAACAAATATGCGAGTGCATTTGCTGCAAGATACGTCTGCCCAAATATTTTCAAAGCAACTTTTAGATATCGGAAACGGTAAAGTTCATATTGATCGCACAACAAATGAGATATCATTTCCGTCCAACTTTTGTCAAATGCAGCAGAGCATTCAAGACGTCATCGACAGAGTATTTCCGAACTTAACGATCAACTACCGAAATCCGGAATGGCTCCGCGAACGTGCAATTTTAGCTCCGAAGAACGATGATGTTAGTAAATTAAACGGTCAAATTCAATTGAAAATTCCAGGAGAAGCAGTCGAATATAAATCGATTGATACAGTAATGGACAAAGATCAAGCTGTGAATTACCCAACTGAATTTCTTAATTCTTTGGAGCCACCTGGAATGCCTCCTCATTCGTTGGCGTTAAAAGTTGGATCACCAGTGATGCTTATTCGGAACTTGAACGCGCCGAAACTGTGCAACGGAACCAGAGTGATAATAAAAAAATTAACACCGAATTTGATCGAGGCAACAACCATCAGCGGTAAATTCAAAGGCGAAGATGTGCTGCTTCCACGTATACCGATGATTTCCAACGATTTACCGTTCGAATTCAAGCGGCTTCAATTCCCTTTGCGTCTTGCCTTTGCTATAACTCTAAATAAAGCACAAGGGCAATCATTAACTATTGCGGGTTTGGATTTGAAAAATTCGTGCTTTTCACATGGCCAATTATACGTCGCCTGTTCACGAGTTGGGACACCACAAAATTTATATATTTACACACCAAATGAAAAAACTAAAAATATTGTTTATCCCTTAGCATTAAGGTAAATAAAAAGGTATTCAATTTCAAATCTCTAAATACATGTGTTTTTCTTTGCTAGTAAGTAATAAAGTAATAAAGTTTAAGTTCGGGCGGAGCCGAACATTAAATACCCGGCGCAAGTATTAAATATATGATTTTCACCTTTCCGAGAGCCACCGCAACATGGTAAGCCGGGGTGTGTCAATTTTGAGTAATTTAGCGTCCTTAAATTTCGAAATAATGAAGTTTCAAGCATTTCTGAAATTTACCGTTATATGAAAAGCGGCCTCAATTTTAGTCTGATTTCAATAATTTTCAACATTTTGCTTTTATGTGGCAAGCCATACCGAGTTTGGTACAAATTGGTAGAACGGTTACCGAGATACATACATATATGTGATCATAAATGGGCGGTGCCACCACGCCCGTTTTCCAAAATTTTATCATAAACGTATTTCTTGTTAAAGGATTGTCGCAAGCATAAATTTTGAATAAATTAGCTTTAATATTTATTGATTTATCGAAGATTCCGTATTTCTCCAAATTACCGTTATATGGGAGGTAGGCGTGGTTATTGTCCGATTTTGCCCATTTTCAATACCGTCCGCCCTACGCCCGAAAGAAGTGCAAGTACAAAGATTCGTTAAGATATCTAAATTTTTACTCGAGTTATCGTGTGCACAGACGGACCGCCAGACGGACGGACAGACAGTCACGGCTTAATCGATTTCTCTTTTCATTCTGATCACTTATGTATACATTTGTCTATATCTATCTCGATTCGTTTTACCTGTAACAAACAACCGTTATGTGACCAAAGTTATAATACCCTTGTGCACAAGTGCGCTCGGGTATAAAAAATAACGCGCAAGTATAAGTGTCAAGTGCCAAGTGCAACAACGCGCAAGGTTAATGGTCAGGTACTTCGGACTAAAACCTGTGGAACTGTCAAACTACAATTTTACTCTCTCAAGTGAGAGTAAATAAGTACAGATGCAGAAGTGCATGGGAACGCAAAAAGCACTATTTCGTGTAAAAACGTCAGTCGATTTGTTTACATGTCATTTATACAACATTCATTTGGCCGAAATATCACTAAATAACTATTAAAATCTATCCATATTCAAACATTTCGTTGTTTACTTTCATTTTTTTTTACAAATATAAGGTTGTTGAGCTAGTAAGCCTTTTTAGCAGCTATTAAAATAAAACAAACGATGTATGCATAAGTTAAGCAACTGTATTTAACAAGATTTGGTCCGCGACTAACTAACAGAAAGTTCACCTTGAACTATTTAAGTATGTCCTAATTACATTGGATAACTGCAAATTCATCACCAACAATAGAAAACCAGTTTTCTTAAATGCATGAGAATTTACATATATATATTTATGCACGTATGCACCCGCGCACACAATATTGCTTACATACATATGTACTATTTTTCGCTTGTTTGCATACGAATGTATCCAACTGAGCACGGGCGGTACGTATGCACATACATATATGTATGTATGTATATACGTATGCTTTATACATAGTATAAAGGGGAAACAAAATTAGCACAGTTTAAATACATACAAGTAAATATGCAGCTCAATTGAGTATGAAAATTTCAGTGTGATCAGATAACGTTATTCATATTGATTTTAATAAACATATTTTATGTTGCTGACCTATCCGCTGCTGCTCCGAACATCCTCCCCCCCGTTGAAAGGTCAGGGCT